CGGTACTGTACAATAAAAGAAGATGAAATCAGCCTCAAATTAGGAAACGTTCTGAAGTACTCCACTGGAGTCTTCACTCCTGTCTGCCTTGGAGACATATTTTACTGATTCCCTATTACATAAGCCAAGAGAAACATGACCGGCACTATTGAACCAAACAGCAGAGTCACTGCTCTTACAAAAGGATTAGTTAGATTGGAGGATTTGCTTATGTGGGAAATTATTAGACAGAAAACAGACATTAGGGTAAAGTTCATCCACTTAGTTTTAGCAAGTTTTTATTGAGCATCTACTATGCTCCAAGCACTATTGTAGGCAATGATAATACAGCAGTGACAAAAAGATATACTATTCTACCCTTGGTGAGATTAGATTTTGGGGAACTTGATAAACAAATTAAGTGAACTATACAGTATATTAAGCCTTGGTGGATGTTACAGAATAACATAGAATGGAGGTAGGATATTGTTACAGGTAAAAGGAGGGCACAGCTGCACCCAAAATGCCCGTGGCAAGTGCAGTGGATATCTGATAAGATGCTAAATGGCACCCCTTAAAGCAGCCTGATCTTCCTTCCCCCCCCCCCATCTTACCCATTCATTTACGGCTCTCAGTGTACCTCCTAAACCCTATTCTACTGCTAGTGTCCACTGTCATCCATTACCCGGAGCCACATCACCTCCCATCTGGGAAGATCAGCCAGTGTTGACAACATGTCTCCTTCTTTGCCACCACCCCACTGCCTTTGGGAAGCTCTAAGCCCTTCAAGACAGCTATGGTTGCCCAGTAACCTAGCTATCACCACCTGCCTCTTTACACTACACCAACCACCTGGACTCAGTCTGAACCCACACATAGGCTACTCTCTTGCCTAGAACTTTATGGCATCTCAGGGGCTGTTCTGAAACTCCAGCTCCTATCTCCCACTGGACATTAGAACCCAGTTTTGAGGTGGTAAGTATGTCTAGTTCAGAAAGTCCAGTTAGCAGGCACAGTTGGATCTTAGAACAAACCTTAACCTAAAGATCTGTTACTTAAGTATCACGGAAGACACAATTTCAAATTGGGGGCTGGAGAGATGGTTCAGCAGTAAAGAGAACATACTGCTCTTCTTGAAGACCTGGGTTTGGTTCCCAGCACCTGAATGGTGACTGAAAACATCTAGAATTCCAGTTCTAAGGAGACTGACGGCCTCCTCTGACGCCCTGCGGGCATCAGGAATGTATCAGGGGCACAGACACACATGAAGACAAGACATTCATACACATGAAATAAAAACAAAACAGTGATAATTTGGGGTTATCTTCTTCAGAATAGAAGAAAAAGACAGCACTCCTCCAGCGTCATCCCCAAGCTCTCCAGTGTTGAGATGAGGAGTCTCCTGTATTTTTCCCACATCCTAAGACACAAACTCCATACATCAAACCATAGGATCTTTCAGAAATAAGCCATGACCTTCATTTGTTGATGTACGTTATTCTTCAGGTTGAAATTATCTCTTTGATAATTCTTAAGTACTGTGTATGTGTCTGTGGGTTTGTACGTACAAATGCGTGCTGTGCTGTGCCACGGTGGCTTGTGTAAGAATGGCCTCTATAGGCTCACCTCTAGGGAATAGAACTATTTGAAAGAATCCCAACAATTAGGAGGTGTGGCCTTGTTGGAGGAAGTGTGTCACTGGGGATGGGCTTTGAGGGTTCAATAGCCTGTGCCAAAGCCTAGAGTCTTCCTGCAGATCCAGATGTAGAACTGTCAGCTACCTCTCCAGCACCATGCTCCCTGCCACGATGATAACGGACCCACCTCTGAAACTGAGCAAGCTCCCAATTAAAGACTTTCTGTTATGAGTTGCCTTGGTCATGGTGTCTCTTCGCAGAAATAGATCAGTGACTATGACAGGTGCCCAGCAAGGGCAGAAATGGGTGTCAGATTCCCTGGAGCTGTACTTCTAAGTGGTCGTGACTAGCCAATGTGAGTGACGTATAGCAAGCTTCAGTCCTCCGAAAAAGCAGCGAGCAATCATAAGCACTGAACTATCTGTCCTGCCCTAGACTGAAATACTGGCCTTACAATCTGACTTCTGGGATCCACCTTCTCTGGGCAGTCTTTTCTCCCTCTCTGTGCACATAGCTTTGTTCATCTATGCATTATAATGCACCATGTTTTCAGTCTGTTGGAGCTGGTGGTATCTCATTACACTATCATTTTTCATGTATTTTTATGTGATCCACAGTGATAAAACTTCCAGCTTCACAACATGGTATACACAGTCACTCATGTAACACGCCTGCCTCTTCCATGTTTGCTCTGTGCCAGGGCCTGTGTTAGGATCAAGCAGTGAGCAGTGAGATATAACGGAATTACAGACGGAATAATAGAATTTTAAATAAGATAGAGACAAACTTCATTTTTTAAACAGAGAAGTATTACTCTGCACTTTCTTTAACTACATTTATGTTATCATTCACCAGGAATCACTTTTATAAAAATAATAAAGCGAGTACTCTAGATAAAAACAGAAGGTCATACAGCGAGCACCAGCGAGCACAAATCTACAAACATGAGCACACGTTCACTAAGAAAATTTAGCCTTACTGAAAGACACAGTGGCATGGCCTTTCTGCCTCCGGTTCTTTCTCACACCTACCCGGGTTGCACTAAATGTATTTCAAAGTACAATCCTAAGTTACTAACCATGCTCCAGAAACGTAACCGAGATATGCCCACACTGAAGGCAGGTTCGCCTTTCCAGCCGGGGAGTCTCTCTGAAGAAAGCCCCGCAATTCCATGTCATGATTAACAACTGATTAAATTAACAGTTTTATTGGAGAATGAAATAAACTACGGGCAAGGTCCTTCTCAGCAGAGGGAATGTTAGCTGTTGACTGGATTGAACTGAGGCCTTCCTAGGTCAAGGTTCAGTGTAAAATATCATTCACAGATAGTGCTTATGACAACTGAAACATTTCTCTCACACATAACGTTATAGCTATTATATATTTACTCTCAAAACCATGATGTTGCTCGGCAGCTTCCAATTCACAGATGTCATTCCTTCCCTCATAGGCTTCAAACTCCAGCCTTCATGTGTCACGGAGACAGGCACCTCTATTACCTTTTGTAAATAGAGTCTCTCTACACATTCCTGACTGTCCTTAAACTCAGTGTGTGGATGAGGATGGCCTCAGACTCACAGAGATCCACCTGATTCTGTCTCCCAACTGTTGGGATTAATGGTGCGCTCCACTACACCTGACTTCTAATGTGTTTCTCAAGCAAATGAATTTCAAAATGTCAGGTTGCCAACTTTTTTTTTTCCATTATTTCTTTTTCTTTCTCGAAATGGGCTGTGCAATGGATGGTATCAGTAGAGTGGGATTCTGGGCTGTGGCTCTGGTGCTGCAATCCTATGAGCATCTGTAGGTCACAGAGGCACTGCGGAAAGGACCAGTTCTCAGAAAAGGAATGTATGTGTGTGTGGGGTGGGGGTGTCTGAGTTTGTCTTTGCCATGCTACATCGTGTTTAAAAAGAGAAACTGTATCAAGGCAACCTGAGCAGTGAACAGACCACTTTCCAGAAAAAGGTCCTCTGACTTGAAGAAGTCACCACACCTATTGCTGCCTTGAGGTTTGGAGCCTCTTTCCAGCCTGTGCCCTGTTCTCTCTCCTGGGCTTCTCTGCCCCTACCCCCAGGACCCCTGCCTCTCACACCTCCCTGCCCCCCAGTACCCAGATCTTTCGAAGCACTCCCACATTTTTCTAAAGTAGCACTACTGGACCTATCTGCTAAACTCAGAGCGGGTAGAGATGGAGCATCAGTTGATGGACTGAATTTTCTACTTGGATAAGGAAATTCTGATGTTTAGCTTAAGACTTTTAACAGAGTTAGAGGCATGGGTTGTCTCAAACTAATGCTTTTTGTTTTCTCTTCTTCCTCTTCCTTTTCTCCCCTGGTTTCTTCACTTGCGTGTTTCATTTCCATTGTCGACCCAGTGGGAAAATGTTGGACAGCAAAGCAATATAAGGTGGAGGGAAACAGAACTGGATTCCACCGTGAGATGCACCTCTAGAGGGTGACTTGAAAGGTGGCTTAGGTTTTGACATTTTCAAATTACTTTACTTCCGTCGTGCTTGTTTATTTGGGGGAGAGAGGCCTGTGCCTCAGCCTGACGAACAAGAGTTCCATCCTGGGATCCAACGGTAGAAGGTGAGAACCAACTTCCACAAGGCTTTGGCTTTTCGTTTATTTACCTTTTTATGTGCCTTTGTTTTTTATAACTATAAATAACTATAAAAATAATTCTATAGCTATAAGTAACTATAGAAAATGAAGTCATCCCTGCCATGTCCCACAGAACATGGTACTGTGGGTGGAGTGGTGGGGAGCTTGTAAAAGGGCAACAGTGCTCAGGGAAGACTTCTTCAGAAACTGAACTAACCTAGTAGCCTACTCTTTCCCTTTCCTACCCACGAACTGACAGCTATGCCCTTCAGGCTAGCTTTGACTAAGGGCTTGCCACTGCTAAAAGTAGGTAAAAGGTTCATGGATTTCTTCCAAAGTAATGTCTGGTTTCCACATCTCAACAAAATCCTGTTGTTCACTACACAGACGAGGGTTCACCCAGCCTGCTACGTGTGTAGCATTCCCTGTTTATTTACAAATGCAAGTTCCCTTATTGGGGATTCGTGTCTCCACCCCAACCCACCCCCCTCATTCTCTCATCTCCCAGGGCTCTGAGACCTCCGGCTTCTCTATTAGTTGGGTCTCTCCGATCCCCTCATTGCGTCCCTGTAGTGTCCTCCCCAAGTTCTGGAACTCTTGTCCCCTCACCCCTCTCCCTGCACCCTTTGCTCCCCCGGACGCCTGGCATCTCCCTGCACCCGAGGGCCCTCTGCCCTGTTTCAGCTGCCTGCGTCTGGTGCCCCTGTTCTCGCGCCCTGCGTGCTCAGCTTCGCCTGTGGAAGCGAGCCTGGCCGACACCCACGCCGCGCTGCCTTACCCTCTGAGAACCGGGGTCGCAGGGGAGGCGGGACACCCCAGCAAAGAAGGCACGGCCGAGCAGCGCCATGTCTGCAGCAGAACTCTGTCCTTAATGCCAGGGTCCGCCCCGGCCCGGAAGTCTGAGTCCAGGCGGAGGGAGGAGCCGGACGAGGCTGTGACCGCCAACCGCCGAGCCCTGGGAGGGGGCGGCTCCCCGCCGGCTCTACGCCGGCTCTACGCCGGCTCTACGCCGGCTCTACGCAGTTCTCGGCTCCCTCGGAAGAGAGAATTTTGTCCAGAGGGAAACGAGTTCGGGACCAGCCCCTGCGCAAAACAAAAGTTTTTCGAAACAACAAGACCTACAGTTTGTCCACCGAATGAATGCCTTCCGGTCAGTGTTTATTCCTCCAGGATGTAAAGCTGTGGTCCATGGGAAGTTCCATCACATAACATCAGATTAATATTTTGTGCTCAGAGCATGGCCTCTTTTCTAAAGCCAAGCAGGCCGTGAAATGTCGGGCGGCACGTCACTGCCTATTAGAAGAAGCTTGGCTCTGACTCTCCAAGCTGTTGCTTTTCTCTCCAAGGAAGGAGTGCACACTTGAAAAGCAAATGCACAATTATAGTATAAATGACTTGGGATGACAGGGTTTGAAATACACAGGGCACTATAAAAGATGACAATTTTTCAGACTTGAAAAAAATTATTTATTTATTGTGTGTATATGAATACAGACACATCTGAAGAGGGTATCTGATCCTATTACAGATGGTAGTGAGCCACCATGTGGTTGCTGGGGATTGAACTCAGGACCTGTGGAAGAGTAAGTACTCAGTGCTCTTAACCATCTCTCTAGCCTGGCTTGAAATTAAAAACAAAACAAAAAACCGCCTATCCTTATCAGGAAAGAAAAATCCTTAAAGCTATGTGTCTTGGTTTGTTTTCCTGCCGGAGTAATAAAATACTCTGATCCTGAACCTGACTGGGGACAGTGAGGTAACTCACCTGGTGAAGTAACTTGCCTCCAAGCCTGAGTTCCATCTCTAGGTCTCACAAGGTAGAAGAGGAGAGAACCGATTCCAGCAAGCTGTCTTCCGAGCTCTGCACAAGTGTGTTTGAACACAAAATAATAGATCTATTTTAAAAATTTAGACATTTTGAAAAACAGGAGAAACTGTTTATTTTAACTCATGGCTCCAAGTCCATCATGAAAGGAAATCGAAGGAGCAGGAGCTTGGAGATGTGCTCACACTCTGTTGGAAGCCAGGAGGAAGCGGTGAATGTGTCTTTAGTAATCAGGCCTCTTCCTCCACTTTGTTCAGTCCAGGATCCCCTGCCTGGGAAATAGTCATGCCCAAAAGAAAGACGGGTCTTTCCACATCAATTAACACAATCAAGATAATGGCCAGGCCTCAAAGGCCAGTATGTCATGATTATTTCAAGTTCACAGTTAAAAACAATTGCTGTAGCTCTGCAGTTTGTCAGCCTGACACCCAACCTCATTAATTTTAGGCAATAAACTTCCACCTCTGTCCCTATAGGCTCATAACCATGTTATAATGTAAAATGTATTCAGTCTAACTTTAAAAGTCCCGCATAATCTTTATCGATTGTAACACTTTAATATTACAAAGACTTAGGTCGTAAACAAATTACATACTCCTGACACATAATAGTACAGAGAAGAATTCCTATTCAAAAATGGAAGACCCAGGATATAACACTAAATGAAAATAGAGACATGACCACTCCTAGGTATAGTTGCAGATGTGAGAAAGAGAACAAGCAGAGGCATCTGGAAGAGTCCAGACTGAACCTAGCCAGCAGAATACACAGGGCCAAGAAATGAACAGGGGGTGGGGGGGTGGGGGGAGCAAGGGAGAAAGAAAAGAGGGAAACCAGGGTAGAGAGAAGAACCAAGAGAGTTTGAAGAAAAAGAAAGCACATGGCCAAAATGACTGGGTTATATTGGGAAGAGAAGCTGGGGGAAGGGAAGAGAAATGCAAAGACTCAAGAGGCTTAGGGTACGGGTGGGTCAGAAAGTGCTGGAAGGAGTCAGGATGCTATATCTACTTGGGATGGTGATTGCCTGATCACAGTTGTGTTCCAAAGGCTTGTGGAGTTCCACCCCTACAGCCCTGTTGCTCTCAGCTAGTATGTTCTCTGCTCAGTTGGCTCCAATTCATGCCCACAACACACTCCTTGGTACAGACTCCGTTGTCCTAGCTTCTCCATCCTCCCAGGATCTCCACTGAAGCCCAGGCCTTACCTTGACAGGTTTACAGAATGTCCTCTCGGGCCTGCTGACATGGACTCTAACTTCACTACACATTGTCTGGCCTTAGCTGTCCCCCATGAGCTTCTATCATGCCTTCAAAAATCAGTTTCATATGGATATTGCTGCCAAGCTCTGCTATGGTCTTGTAGAGTCCAGCTTCCTTGTCTGCTCCAGTTTTTGCACACCGACCCCAAGGAACTATGTTTTTAGATAATTACCTTTGGGGAGCAGAGACCACATTCAGCCCAGGCTTGCTTTAAATGATTTGGATCTTCATATTATGACACCTTTAACGGACAGGGTTTTGCCTTGGGGACATCTTTCCTCTTGTCTCATTCAGCAGAGGTGATTTCTCTTCAGCAATGCTGATCTCTTTGACAACCACTGATGTCTCCTCAGCACCAGCCTTAATGCTCTCCTGTCTTGAAAGGAATTCCACCATTATCCTTAAACTCAACTTCACTCTTCACAGTTCTAAGGGCCTAGTTAGAATGAACCCATATTCTTGACCAAAAAAATATCAAACGAATGTCCCCTCTCTAGTTCCTTATAGAGTCACTATTCACCTCTGAAGTCTCATGAGCTTGCCCTCACTGTCCACACTTCTCTCAACGTTCTTATTGTCCGAGATTCCCTCAGAATGGTAAGCATTCAAGGCTTCTTCTAACCACAAGGTGCAAGTTCCTTCACATTCCAGCCACAAAACATGCTAAGAGCCACATAGTCAGGTGTGTCTCAATGACCCCCTTCCTTAGCATTTGTTCCCCATTTCTGAAGAAAACATTCTCATGGATGAAAATATAATAATGGTTATATTTTAGACATACATTTTAGCTAGGCTATATACTACTCTCTAAAAGCTCTAAAACAGCTTTCTGGGAGGGGGCAGCCCTGACCAGGTAAATGACAGTCCCATTTAGAATAATTCTTAATGGAAGAGACAATTTTTGTTTTTTCATCAGACACTCTCCATTAGAGATGATAGTGTCTTTACTTTCTGGGAAGCTTAGAACATTAGTCCTCACCCAGCAGAGTATCAGAATGTGCAGGTTTGGGATGGAGAGATGGCTCAGGAGTGAAGATCATGTGCTACTCTTACAAAGAGCAAAGTTTAGTTCCAATACCTCTGTTGACTCCAAACCACCTGGACCTCCAGCTCCAAAGAATCCACCATCCTCTGCAGTCACCAGCATTCATATATGTCTGTATGGGTAGTAATTCTGCCATTCATCAGGGCCTCAAAGATCAGTCCTGCCTTCAGTGGTCACCCATACATATAGGTACACACATAATTTAAAATGCTTCATCAGAAAGAAGCTGTTTTTCCCCAAGGGACTTCAACAAAAGTCCTCCCCTGCTTTCACTTTCTCTCTTTCCTATCAGATTTTAAATTCTAACGGGTCAGTTCTGATGTTTTTCCTTCCTAAAAAAATTAATCAATTGGGGGTCAGGGAGAAGGCTGAGCAGGTGAAAGTAGTCAGTGCAACAGCATAACAATTCATTCAGTCCCTCAGACACATACAGAAAGCTGGATGTGAGGCATGCATCTTTACTCCAAGCATATTCATGGTGAGATCACCAGGAAGCTTAGGGCCAGCTAGCTTGGAGTATGAAGCAGGATAGAAACAAGAAACTCTACCTCTGCTTCTGATCCAATCTCCCCATGGTTACCATGTGGTATATTAACAGATAGCCTACTTCTACCAACTCGAAAGCTAAGACTGGTACCAAAGTGACAGCAGCAGGCATCTTCCTGCTTTGCTCTTATGCCTGATATGTCTGCCAATGCACTTAAAAAGTACCTTAGTTTGTACCTTTCTTTTATTTTGGGCATATACAAGTTTCATGAAGTGTGACTATTGAAAGCTGAACTGATCTTTGAGACCCTGGTGTATGGATAAGTAGCACAGCACTTTCAAAACCAGATGTGCTTGGCAGAGATGTTAATAGGCTGGGGCCAGGGCCTTGAGAGCCTTTCTCTGAGGCTCTGATTTATTGAGAAAAACAAAAACAAACAAACAAACAACAACAAACCCAACTCCTTCTCTAAAACCAGGGATATGCTTCACAAAGCCAGCAATAGCCTGGAACCAAGGCCTTTTGAGATCTATGGCTTCCGATCCTGAGAGCCCAACTCTTCTGTGCTAAAGGGTTATGTTATCAGTACCAAGGCCACTGTATGCTCAGTCTTCGACACTCTGTGTTCCACTTGTGCAAGACTGGCTTGATTAGCCTCCTGCTGATTTTGTCCCATTGTATGGTAGAGTCTGCTGACTTTGCTACATTTTTCCCCTGGAAACAGTATAAAATGCTGTACTTCTTAATAATCTTGCTTGGCATAAGATGTAGCTTCTGCAAGACCTCCAAATCCCATTTTAAAAAAAGAAAAAATCTTCCCTACTATCCTCTTTATGTTTGGATCTCCTGATCTTCTTTCTAACGACTCTGACAATGAAGAAAGACCTGCTGAACCAGGTCCTCTGACCATGTTGGAACACTATATTTGGAGTAACCTGAATCTGCATTTCTGGGCAATGGTTGTTGGACTCCAATACTAAGGTTGTAGTCTACCCTATCCAGACAGCTTTCCCTGAGCTTGGTGCAAAATGGTACACTCCCTTTTCTTAGCAGGACTTCCTCTTCTCTGCCTGATCTGGGGAGCCCAACTCCCTCATCATCTACCTGAAGAATGTCACATACTCCTGGGCAAAATTACAGGTTCAACTTCCTCTCTCCATGCAGATGAGGCATTCCCAGTACTTTAAGCTGCAGCCAATTTACATCTACCCTGAAAATTCCTTCCTACTCTTAAGGTTCATGTAGCCCTTGTTTACACCAAATCAAGTATTTGTACACAAACTGTTTCACTGAATATCGTCTAAGAGAGCTGTGACACTGAAATCCTCAGAGAAACCTTCTCTCCCAGAACTCCCTATAGGCCTGGGATCCTACTGACTTACCCATTCAGTGACTCCTGAACATCACCCCAAGGGACAAAGTGGAAGTGGAACCACATTTGTCACTTATATTCCCTTGGTGTCCTATTTTGTTTTCTGTTGCTGTAATAAACACCATAACCACAAGCAACATGTAGGGGAAGGGGTTTATTTGGCTTACAGGTTGCAATCCATTATGGAGGAAGCTAAGTCAGGAACTCAAGGCAGGAGCAGGGTGATTAGCAAGAACTGAAGCAGAGACCATGAAAGAACACTTCTCACTGGCTTGCTTCCCGTGGCTTGCTCAGCCACTACCTGGGCTACCTGCCCAACTGGTACCTCTCACAGTGGGCTGTCCCACATCAGTCAGCAATAATGCCTTACAGACATGCACATAGGCCAATCTGATGGAGGCAATTCCTCAGTTAAGATCTATATTTCCCAGATATGTGTTGGTTTGTGTTAAGTTAACAAGAACTATGCCAATTTGAGATGAAAGCTGCTATTTTTCTTGTATCTTTTATATTGGTGTCCATCCCAGGGGAAGCTTATAAAAGCAAATACCATAAAGGCTTACACACAGGTGCAGGATGTGCTGGCGGGTAGTTGTTTCAGGTCCAAGTTTATTATTGGGTAACTATACAAAGCAGTGCTACTGACTTCTATTATGATTAGTTTCTGAGGGCACAAAACATAACAGAATATGTAGTCAACTTGGCATTAGAAAGTTTCCTACTACTGGGCAGTAGTGGCGAACACCTTTAATTGCAGCACTTGGGAGGCAGAGGTAGGTGAAGTGGATTTCTGAGTTCAAGGCCAGCCTGGTCTACAGAGTGAGTTCCAGGACAGCCAGGGCTACATAGAGAAACCCTGTCTCGAAAACCCAAAAACAAAAACAAACAAACAAAACAAAACAAAACAAAACAAAACAAAAAAAACAAGAAGAAGAAAGTTTCCTACTAACAGCAGAAACATATGAGAAGGTTTCCTTATAATGGCAGGCTAGGCCAGGTAACAAGTTACCCAACCCTTAACATTTTGCCTAGGCCTTAACATTCCATCTAGGCCTTAACATTTTCGTAGGCCTCAACAATCTGCAGTCAGCAAGCAAAGAGAGAGAAACTTTAAAGCCTACCTCCTCCAGCGACATACTTCCTCCAATAAGGACACACAAACACTAATAAGACTACACCTCCTTATTCTTCCCCATAGGTTCATCAATTGAGAACTAAGCATGCAAATACACATGCCTGGGGGCCATTCTCATGTAAACCACAACAGAGGGCAAAAGATTTGAAGGTATACACACATGTGCACGCGCGTGCTCTCTCTCACACACACACACACACACACAACCAAATCACATCAAATAAATGGGAAAAGATTTTCTTCCTTCCTTCCTTCCTTCCTTCCTTCCTTCCTTCCTTCCTTCCTTCCTTCCTTCCTTCCTTGTCTTTCTTTCTTTTTTGACAGGGTCTATGTAGTCCTGGCTGCCCTGGAATTCATCATGTAGATCAGCTAGCCTTGAACTGACAGAGATCTGTTTGTCTCTTCATCCTGAGTGTTGGGATTAAAGGAATGTGCCAGCACACCCAGCTAGGAAGAACGTTTTAGTAATGAGGCTGAAGATCATATACATGCATATAATGATCACGTGATCACCCCAAGACACTTCCCAGGTACAGTCCTCAGACGCCCACACCCATGCTTTTGGATATGTCCTAATCTTTCCGAGTACCTCTATGTCAACTCCTGCACTTAAATCTATGCTTAAACATTCTCTTCAACAAACTCTTAATTCTGCTTCATGAAATTCTTTTCTGCAGTGAAGTTAAGGATCATGGCAGAACCTAAAGGATAAGGCAGTTCACAGGCTGCTGGCACCAGATCCGGGCTGTTTCATTCTGCTCTTCTGCTGACAGGGTAATTGATTAAAACTCTGTGATTGTGAAGAGTTGAAATGTTATAAATCCAACGCCAAATTGTCTTACACTACCTTTAATGCCCTTAATACCCAGGTATTGCACCTAGTTCTGTGTCTGACTCAACATCTCTGTACCAGTTAAATCCTTTTAACATGTATTAACAGACAACTAGCTTCCAGCAACAAAAGGGCTAAGACGTATTACACCTTCTTTCTCTCCTTTGCTGTAACCTGCTTAGCTGGTGTTTTCACCAAGGTATTTAGGAAGTATATTGATTTACGACTTTCTTTTTTCAGTAGCTATAAAAACTTCAGGAAACTATGTCCATGTTGGAACAGAGTATTTAGAACAACCTGAATGCACATATTGAGGTAATTGATGGTCACTCATATTTGGCTTAAGAATTACTATCTTTTGTTCTTTTTGAATTGAGAAAATGTTAACTACCTGCTTCCTCTGAGTAGAACTCATCTCGAGTTTTCTTTAAGTTTAAAGCACTTAGAACATGCCCTAGCCTAGTAATAGGCAGGAAATGCTCACTGTTTTCCTGCCTGTGGAGAATGGTTGCTAGGCCAGAATGATGTGACAGGAAGTGACACTGGTTGTAATATCATGTCTCTTTTCATGGTCTCCCATGTTGTAATCCATTAGTACGTTGAACAAGAAAGCAGAACAAATGACGTCAGGTTTTTGTTTTTGTGAGCAGAGAGTTGAGGTGAAGCTTCAATTGTCCCGAGTAAGTGTTGCATAGAAGTTACTGAAGTATTGGCTAATGTTTGTGTTAGCTTTATAAAAACCCAATATGCAGCATCTTGTGTACATTTACGACAAGTCGTTCGGATTAAATCAAGGCTTATAGCTTGTGGGGTGAGGAAAGTGTTTGAAAGGCGTCATCAATCCCTCAAAGCTTTGCAGTATAAGCACAATTAAGAATAAGAAGCTGAGCAACTGAGCTGGGCATGGTGGCACACACCATTAATCCTAGTGCTCGGGAAACAGAGGCAGGCACATCAAGGTCAAGGTTCAAGGTCAGCCTGGTCTACATAGAGTTCCAGGCAAGCCACAGATACATGAGCCTCTCTGAACAAACCAAAACAAAAGAATAGTAAGCTTAATTTTCAAGCTCAGTTCTCTGTGTTGTAAATAAAGGAAGAGCCGGGCAGTGGTGGTGCACGCCTTTAATCCCAGCACTTGGGAGGCAGAGGCAGGCGGATTTCTGAGTTCGAGGCCAGCCTGGTCTACAGAGTGAGTTCCAGGACAGCCAGGGCTACACAGAGAAACCCTGTCTCGAAAAACCAAAAAAAAAAAAAAAAAGTAAATAAAGGAAGAGGTCCCTTAGTGTAAACAGGTGATGTCTGATACGTCTTAGATTCTAATGGTTCTGGTTTCCAGATTCTAACAACCACATGCCAAAAATTTTTAAATTATTTCTGTTGAACATGCAGATTGTTTATTATTCCTTAAACAATAAAACCGAACAGCTGTTTAAATTGCACTTACATTTTATTATATATCATATGTAATTTAATAGCCAATTACAACTATGTGGGAAGATGTCTGTGCTATTTATTAGTGCTGACAATCAAAACCAAGGATTCATGCATGCTAGGTAAGTGCTGCATTTACTCTGTATCTGTTTCAGCTCTACACTTTAGCTTCCCAAATCCCTTGCTGTCTCTTGCTGTGTCTCTTTAACTCCGTTGTAGTCCTTCCTTTTTCTTTTCTTTTTTGGATAGGATCTCTCTGTAGACTAGGCTGGCCTCAAACTTGCAGAGATTCACCTGCCTCTGCCCTCCAAGTGCTGGGATTAAAGGTGAGCAACGCCACTCACAACAGTTGAAGTCATTCTTTAATGGACACACACCCTTGCTGTATGATGTATTAGTATTACAAATGAAATAAAAAACCTGTTTACCAGTGATCAACTCTTAAGGGAAATTGGGACTACTTGGGAAATTACAGTCAAAGATAACAACGCAGCTTGTGGATTTATTGTTATTCAGTAAATTCTGACATTGGGTAAAGATGTAAATATGGGTCTGGTATAATACACTCAGGACACAATGGAGAAGATTAAACATACAATTGGCTTTGACATGAAATTTTCATTTTGACTGATACTACTACAAATGAAGTAAATGAAGACATTTTAAATACAGCAAATAATATACTCAGCCAGCAGTTCGATGTATTTTATTTAAAATCCACATTACTTGTGAGATTTTTAAACATTATAGTTTGTTGATTAAAGCGTGACACTTTCTGCGCTGCACTGCTGCATCTTTCGCGCCAGGTGGCGCCCGCGCCGGCGGCGCGCTCTGGCCCCATTCCCGCGTTTCCGAAGAACTTGACGGAGCATTGGAACGCGCACGTCCCGGAGCCCGCGCCGGTGCAGCACGGTGGCCGCGCACGCTGGGCAGCCACGGTTGGCGTCGCACGTCGCGGGGTTCTGAGACGCCGGACCCATGTGGAAGCTGCTCCCGGCCGCAGGTGCGGCTCCAGGTAGGCGCGTAAGGAGGTGGCGGGAAGTTCTTCTCCGGAGCGGCCCGGGAAGGCGGGGGTGGGGAACAGCGGAGCGCGCTTCCGGTCCGTTCTCCTCGCCTTCCGGCGGACGCCGAAGCCGCCGAAGCTGACTGGACGCGGAAGCTGGGTGGTGGGAACCGAGATGGGAGCACACCGAACGTGGGGCGGTGGGGCGTCCGTACCCAGGTTAGACCAGTCCAGCTAGGCTGCGAACGACAGAACCTAAGCCCTTAATGGAAACACCACGCAGAGTTAGCTCAGGCGCCCAGCCAAGGCTGGAGGCGGACGCAGACTGGAGCATAGTTATGAGAAATCACGTGACACCACAGGCCCGCTTTAAAGTTTTCAGACTTTCCCCTCCACCCACCCATTTTTACGGAGTGAAAAAGTTATCACGTGTTAAGTGGTTGTTCCCTTATATAGTCATTATTGATGGAAGATTAAGTACTTGCCTGCGTCTGTATCTTGTTTTCTGGGAACTTAATTAAGATGCAGTTTACGAACAGTATAGAGGGAAGGATAAAGTCTGAAAGATTATCCATGTGGGTTGGGGCACTGCAAAAGTAGAACGCAAATTTGTGTTGCAGAGCAAGGAGGACTCTGAGTAATTAGCCTTGAGCCTAGCTAGCTCTATGGGTGTCTGGAAAATAGAAATTTTCAAGCGCTGGTGGCACAGGCTTATAATCCCAGCACTTGGGAGGTGGAGGAAGGAGGATCTGAAGTTAAAGGTTATCAGCTACGTAAGTTTGAGGCCTTCGAGCTACATGAGACCCTGTCTCAAAACAGATAACAACCTGCCAAATTTAAGTTTGGATAAAGAAAGGATTTGTGAATTGCTTGTCACCTTGAACGGGTAGAGTTTTACAGAGCTCTACACAACACTATGGTCAAGCAGTATTTTATAGACAGAAAAGGAAATAACTTAGAAAAACACCTTGATTAAATTTTACTTCAGCTGCCCTACTTGAGGGGTGTATGAAGATGCATTTAGAGTATAAGGAGTCTTATCTGATTCTTTCCTGGTCTGTGACTGGCTGATACCTAACTGTTAGAAAAATGTACTTTTAGGCTATAGTTCAGTACTCACCCAGGAAGTCTTAACCCTTTATTAACATGATAGCAGAATAAATATGCTTCTAGAACCAGTATCAGCTACATTTGGGGATCTGATTGAAGCTAAGGATTAGTTGTCAAGTTAGCTGGTACCTTTGTGTTACAGAAGAAACTAACAATATTTATTTACCTTCCTTGAAACCGTCCAAGTTCATCTCTAGTAAACTGAGTGTGATAGTTCCTTCCTGTAGTTCCAGCTCCTGAGAAGTTGAGGCTGGTGACTGCTGAGTTTGAGGACAGCTTAGGCAGCATAGTGAGACTTCCTCTCAAAAATGAAATAAAACAAGCAGAAATCTCATTGACAATACTTAACTCAAACCATTTAGAAGGGTGCCGGGGCTCTGCTGGACTCTTCCTATTTGTCTAATTGTGATAATCACTCCACCAACTGGAAGCCCGTGCCACCGAGTTCCACAGGTCTCCAACACGTCTGCTGTTACTCCACCAGTTGCTGATTCACGATTTAATTTTAATGTTCTACTGAGTCTTTGCAAATTTCGTATGATACACGCTTTCTCCTCATCACTCCGTCTCCACCCTCCGCCCTGGTAACCTCCCCCTCACAAAAGAAAACAAAGTCTCACCCTGGAAACTTCAGCGTGTCGTGTCACACAGTACACCTTTTTGCCTAAACAGCTTTTCTTGCAAATGTTCATTGGTAATGAGTTATTGATTATGTTCGAGTCTTCTGCTACACTATCAATACTGGCTCCTCACCAGGACTCCTCTTGGATATCCTGTTGTTGCCCTGTGCCATGGAAATCCTGCAGCTTGGTTCTGCAGAACCAGCCCCTTCCTACGCTCCAACAGCTCATCAATGAGGTAAATGTAGGGGTGAGCCAACTCAGAGCCCTGGATAGGGGGCTGGGTGGTAGCTGAGTTGATCAGCCTGATAGCTCTCCAGAGTGCCACAGCTGGTGAGGGATGGGGCCAGCTCTGCACAACCCTTGCACATCAACATGGCCCTAGCTGGCAGTCCAGACCAGGGATGTCCACATGACCTTTGGTGGTAACATGGTCCATGGGCATCAGCACAGGTCCCCACTGCTGCAGGACCATGGACCCAGACATGGCCTCAGGTGGCATTGAAGGCTACTCATATCAGGCCATTCCTCACTACTTTCCAGTCTCCTGGTCCACCTTTCTTCATGTACACATCCTGCTTCTCTTTCTCTCCATCTCTCCACCACTTACTTGTTCATTTTACTTGCACCTGGGCTTCTGGGTGTCTTCTTAATGGTGCCTGGTGGAGGTCATCTCCGAAGTGCACCACCCCACCAGTCTTGGCTCCCTCACCCAAGTCTCCCAGACTATAATGTTCATGCCATACGCCTCCCTAAATCTTGAGCGCTGCTTCTCAGTCCATTAAAGCCGTCCTTATGAGCAGTGTCCCTTGGACTTTTCAACAGCCTAAGTGACTTCTGTGTTATCTTAGGGGCAGGCCAATCCTGACTCCTTTAGGCAGTGTGTTCCCTCAGTCATTCTCCCTACATCCTTATCTTGAACATTGTTTCTGAGTCAACAGAACCCATCTTTCTGGAAGAAGCCATATGTACTTTGTAAAGAGTTTCAGTGTAAACAGGCTTTAAACTTTGTTGTACATGTGGTTCTGAGCTAATTGTCATCAGGAAGCTATTATTCAAAGTTGTACTGTGCTTAAATATGACTAATATCAACTGTCTGCTGTTAGCCTCTAAAAGTTTGTACCAGCACTGGCTAATTAAGTTAAGCTGAACGGAGGATTTTCATTTTGCCTCTCTGGATTGTTTTGCTGCCAGCTGTAGAACTGGCAGGGGTACCGCCCCTCCCATACACACAAATGATGCACATATGTACATGTAGACAAAACACATAAAATAATCTAGCATAATTTTTTTTTTGTTTTTTTTTTTTTTGTTTTTCCGAGACAGGGTTTCTCTGTGTAGCCCTGGCTGTCCTGGAACTCACTCTGTAGACCAGGCTGGCCTCGAACTCAGAAATCCGCCTGGCTCTGCCTCCCAAATGCTGGGATTAAAGGCGTGCGCCACCACCTCCCAGCTAGCATAATTTTTAAAAGAAAAATCTCACATATGATATATATAATTTATACAAATATACATGCATAATATCAAGTTGCTTAGCATTTAAGTAGCAGAAGTATGAGTTATTTGTAATAACTATACAGTATGTCTTATATGTGTACCTTACATTTATTTACTTCTGTTTTCCCTTAGGAGAACCATGCCGACTTTTGGCTGGCGTAGAATACATTGTTGGGAGGAAAAACTGTGCCATTCTAATCGAAAATGATCAGTCAATCAGCCGAAATCATGCTGTGTTAACAGTAAACTTTCCTGTAACCAGTTTGGTATGCTGCTAACTTTATTTTACTCTCTTTTTTTGTTTGTTTTAAGATTTATTTATTTATTTTATGCATGTGAGTATTGTGTCTGCATTGACACATGCATGTCAGAAGAGAACATCAGGTCGCATTATAGACAGTTGTGAGCCACCATGTGGTTGCTGGGAATTGAACTCAGGACCTCTGGAAGAGCAGCCAGTGCTCATAACTGCTGAGCCATGTCTCTAGCCCCTATTTTACTATCTTGTTAGCATATTAGATAAAACAAAACAAGAAACAACAGGAGAACCCACACATAGTTATTCTAGTTGTATTTATTTTGAAATAGGATGCTTCTATTTGAACAGTTTACTTTTTCTGCAGGTGATTTTGAAATTCAGAGAAAGTGTTTGTTAGAAAATATCCTGTGTTAGTCTTTTGTCATAGTGACGGACTTCCTAAGATGAAGAGATTAAAGAGGAATGTGCAGACTTTGGCTCAGGATTTGAACCTGTGGTCTTTTTGTTCATCATATTATATCTGTGGCCCATGCCATACATTGTGGAACAGTTACAGGAAGCCACTTCCATCCTGACAGCTAAGAAACAGAGCAAAGAATGGAGGCCCCAGAACTTCTTCCAGGTTACACTTCCACAGATCTAACTTTCGCCCAGTGGTCCCACAGGCTAACAGCTAAACCTTTAACCCGTGGTTCTTTGGAGGACACTCAGATACAAACTACTGGGCATTTATTGAATGGTTTGTGTGTAGCAGTCAGGTACCAATTCTGGGAATACAACAATGAATTACCTTTATAACTCACAGTCTTAAAGGACTTGATGCAGCTGTATGGACACTGGGTTTTCCTATGTAGCACATTTTCAGAATAGGAATTGATATATGTTACTAGGGAAGATGACTTGCCTATGCCATTTGGCTTCATTGAATGGATCTGAGTATGTTTTATCACAACCATAGGTGGTAAAGGTGATAAAGTATTTTTAACTACCTGTATTAATGTTAGTATTTGTGGTGCAAGAAAAGCTATTACTTTGTACACAGAGTACACATATGTAAATGCTAGATGTACTTGGAGAAATTCTGGTTTTAAGTCTGTTCCTTTAGGGATGGAAAAATGTTTATTATTGAAATTCATCTAGAATAAGTAAGACAATTGCACTCAGTCAGAAACTGTAGCCCTTTAACTTCATATTCTCATTGGGTTAGTTTTTAACGATAGAGTTTTGACAGTGTAAAAAATGTGTAGGAGAGGATACACCTGGCATGTTAAACACAAAGCAGATTGTGCCAAAGGAAAAGCCTCAGAAGAACGGGTTTGCGTGGCTCAGGAAATGCACAGTCTTAGCAGTGAGGTCTGTTCTCAGGGGTAAGGTTTGGCTTTAAGAAATGACCTTAGGGAAAATGCTAGTTGAGTGACTTCCCTGAAGGCGGCCTGAGGGGAGTCATCATCTACTTCGTTTCTGCTTCCCCAGAAAGTTATTAATCCTGTGAGATCTACCCTGTACTTACTAAGTGGTAAATGACTTTAAATCATTTACTGATTTTCTTTTCAGAGTCAAACAGATGAAATTCCTACATTAACAATAAAAGATAATTCTAAGTATGGAACCTTTGTTAATGAAGAAAAAATGCAGACTGGTCTTTCCTGCACTTTGAAGACAGGAGATAGAGTTACCTTTGGGGTGTTTGAAAGTAAATTCAGGTAAGATGTTTCAGAGTTGATGTGAAATCCACAGCTGTATTTGAAATTCTAAAGGAAGAGACTTTGCCTAAGGTGTTGAAACTGTGTAACTGAATGAGGTTATGTGGCCTGGACAGTTGTAACAGAGCACTCACTTGTTTGGGTCCTCATGGGTTACATTGTAATCTTAAGTTGGGTCACTGTTTTTTCTTCATTAGGACTCAAGACTGAAGAAAGGATAATTTCTTAGGAAAAATACATTAAAATTAAGATGATATTTTTTAAGTTGCTGTCACAAGCACCACAATCTAACTTGCTGTAACTTATTTTCATTTGCAGAGTAGAATACGAGCCTTTGGTTGTTTGTTCTTCTTGTTTAGATGTCTCTGGGAAAACAGTTTTAAACCAAGCTATCTTACAGCTTGGAGGACTTACTGCAAACAACTGGACAGAAGAATGTACTCACCTTGTCATGTCGTCAGTTAAAGTCACCATTAAAGTAAGTGGGAAGTCTTTGTGTCAAGATCAGGTTCCGTCAGTTTACGCTCAGTGACTTAATGTGCACAGACTTAGTCATTTATTTTGAAACAGTCAGAATGGCTGTAGATTCATGTATGACTATCCCATGTTCGTATTTAGACTTGAATGGTTTTTCATGTTTTATTACCTCAGAGAACCAAATGATGTTTCAGATTTTGATTTGACATTTTAAAAAGGTTTTAAGTTATCCTCTACCATGAAATGTATTTGATTGTGTAACTACAGTTAATGGGCTAGCCACTCCTCAAGGTTTGAGTCTTACTTCTGTGTCAGGTTGCCTCTCCTGTCCTCGTACCATCTCATGACACCACACTCTTCTTTTCTATTGAAGATTCCATTCACAAAGACTGTGGGGTTCTTGTAGTTTAGTGAGTTTCACCAACCTAGATATGTAGAAACATGTGTGCCTTTGCAATAGTGACTGAGGGCTTTCTAAATTTGAGTCTTTATATGATGGTTATATAAACCTAAGCTATGACCACGTACTGACTTTTATTTTAGATTGTGTCTCCTTTGTGCATTAATGACTTTGAAAGAAGAAATACTGTAAAACCACCTCTTTTTAGTTTTATAACTTACAATTTTCTTTTAAATAAGCTATTGTATGAGTATATGTATTTATAGTTACATTTGATTTTCCATTTTAGACTATATGTGCACTCATTTGTGGACGTCCAATTGTAAAGCCAGAATACTTTTCTGAATTTCTCAAAGCAGTTGAGTCTAAGAAACAGCCTCCAGAAATTGAAAGGTATATAACCTAAACGTTAAATTTAATAAAATATAGCATAGAAATGAGTAGGCGTTGGTTTTATTCATACTAATCCCATGTCAAATATTTCTTGTCACCTTGGAACAAATCTTAAGTGTCAGTATTTAAATAACACAATGTAAGGACAATGAATGACCCTCATGTGTGGTCAGCCGAGCATGCATGACCGTACCTGGTGTCATCTGAGAGGAAGACTCTTGAAGCCACAGAGGCCAGGACTCTGCTCTCAGTTACCTAATGCAAAAATGTGGCTCAGCAGGATGCAGAGGCAGAGCCTCCCACTCTAGGCTAAGCCAGAAGGATGGCGAATTCACAACCAGCACACACTGCATGCAGAAAGCTTTTCTCAACAGAAAGAAAGGACCTCTGAGTGTCAGGGGTGACATACTTTCTAGTTGAGCTATTTTAGGTATTAGTAATAATGTACAGTGTGTAAAATCTTAATATGTTGTCTGATACAAGTACTTGATGCTGTTAACCGTAAAAATATCTGAATAGGCTCATATTTTTACTTTACTTGCTTTTGATATTCTGTCAAATATTGAACAACCGACTTAGGAAATTTATATGTTGTGTAGTGATACTCTCAATCAATAAAACTGTGATGAGATAGGAAGACACTTGATCATAGGTGTCTGTTTAACTTAGCCAAAAATTAGTTTCTTCTGGTTTTTTGTTTGCTTGGTTGGTTGGATGGTTGATTTTTTTTGGAATTTTATCTGTATATAATTTTTATCTAGGAGGTTTGTTTTATAATATAGTTATTGGATAATACAGTATTTTGGATTCTGATCAGTAGTAGATTCTTAACCTTGAGTCTTACAGCCTTGTGAAAACAGCTTTAGAAAGTGTCCCTTACACATTTCAAATGTGGCTGGTCTTTAAACAAAATCATACTGTCCTTCAGAAGCCTGTCTCTCTGTCTCTGAGGAGTCCAAAGTCCTGTAAATACCAGTGATTTATAGTCATAAATCATAAGCCATTGTTAATTTCAGGCTGCTTTAGGATGGAGAGCCTGGTGAATGTTCACTACTGGGTGTATGTCCTGTTGTTGGGGCTTTTAGAATTAGCCATTGAATCAGCCTTCTATTCGGACTTCTATTCAAATTTAACACTTAGGACCACAGTGAAGTAGCTTTACTCTAGAAGAACTTGGAATAATTCCTAACTCACTGCCTACTATAATGGTTAGTGTTTTCTATTGGCAGTTGACAGTCAGATGTTTTATATTAAGAGCTGGCATGGTGGTAAACTCTGTAATCCTAGCACTCAATATAAAAAGATAAGGCTAGTCTATATTCTATAGCAAGACACTTTCTCAGAAAATGACCAAACAAAATTAAAAAGTATCTAGTCATTTGCCTGATAGTATCCTTATATCTGCATCTATTTTAAGACCAAGTATCTTTTTTTTTCTAAACAGGATCTCATTATGTAGGCTGGCTACTCTTTGAGAGGACCCTAGGCTTCTTTCCCAGCCTCAGATGGTAAACTCACAATTGTATGTAACTCTAATTGAGGCCTACACATGGTATACCAACATGTATGCAGGCAAACACCCATAAACATAAAATTGAAAACAATATTAATGGAAATGAGCATAAAAGGGATAGCAAATAAATTATAGTAACTCTTAGTATCACTCTCCTTTTAGTTCTGAAGCAGTGTTGACTAGCTCTGAATTTAAATCAACGGTGTAATGTGGTGTTATTATGCAGCAAGTACTGTTCTGTTGAGTACAGTTATGTCTGTGTTCTGCAGGTCATCAAGAAAAAAAAAACAGTAAGACAGTCAGCACTGCGTATTGTTGATGTGATTTGTGATTCCTTGTGTCTGTAAGCCATCCTCAGTACTGGGATAGATGAAGTCATCTTTAGAAAACTTGTTGTAAAAGACTGTTTCATTGTATCATGTATATTCTAATAGCAATGTCTACATTGTGTGTGTCTGATGGTAAGGCAGATAGGATGGTGTTTCCATTCAGTTAGTACAGAACTCTCATGTTGTAACATGTTCTCTCAGTTTTTTTAAACAAGCCTCTCACTGTTGGAAGAGTCTCCACAGATCTCTAGCATTCATATATAGCATGCCGACTATGCAAAGACTACAGATTCTGCCAGCCCTTTATACACCCATTTCTGAATAATGTTTGTAGCGAGAAATCTTGGGAGATGACTTAGTGTCTCTTCAGAAATAAAGAGCATGCTTGCTGACAGGCAGTTAGGATTCGTGAGCGCAGTGCTCGTAACCCTGTAGTACAGGCGATCCCTATGCCATCTATTCACCAAGGGACTTGGTTTAGAGGAGATGTGCCACTAACAGCCTTTCACCTTTACTTTTCCTTAAATATGTGTCTTGTTGCACTCATCCTTATTAGTGTATTCATTTTATTTTAGTTTTTTTGTTTGTTTGTTTTTGTTTTGTTTTTTGAGACAGGGTTTCTCTGTGTGGCCCTGGCTGTCCTGGAACTCACTCTGTAGATAGACCAGGCTGGCCTCGACTCAGAAATCCGCCTGCCTCTGCCTCCCAAGTGCTGGGATTAAAGGCGTGTGCCGCCACTGCCCGGCGTATATTCATTTTAAGTAAATACTATCATATATGGAACTTGCATCACATTTTAGGAAAGGCCATTTTGGTTATTTTGTTCCAGATAAAAACTCTTTGCCCGCCGGGCGGTGGTGGCGCACGCCTTTAATCCCAGCACTTGGGAGGCAGAGGCAGGTGGATCTCTGAGTTCGAGAGTTCGAGGCCAGCCTGGTCTACAGAGTGAGTTCCAGGACAGCCAGGGCTACACAGAGAAACCCTGTCTCAAAAAACAAAAACAAAAACAAAAAAAACTCTTTGCCCAAAACAAAACTTTGAAAGTACTAGCTTTTGTTTGCTTTCCTTGTTTCTGTTTTGTTTTGTTGTTTTATTTTGTTTTTTATGACAGGATGTCACTGTGTTGTTCTGGCTGGTCACTCATGTTGTAACACATTCTCTCAATTACTTCATTCCATAATGTAGGCCAGATTAGCCCCAAATTAGCACTGATTCTCTGCTTCTGCCTCCTGGGGATACAGACTTATGTCACAGTGCCTGGCTCAAGTAATACTGAAATTCAGGCTTTTTGGTATTAGGTAGTCACTTCATTTGCAAATTTAATAGTAATCATGGAGAATAGTACATAATTAGAATATATTTTGATTTTCTTTACAGTTTTTACCCACCCATTGATGAACCAGCTATTGGAAGTAAAAGTGTTGATCTGTCAGGACGACATGAAAGAAAACAGATCTTCAAAGGGAAAACATTTGTATTTTTAAATGCCAAACAGGTAACTTTAAAACTAGCGTACATTAGTATCCCTTCTTTTAATTAGTTTGTTTGTCTGTCTGTCTGTCTGTCTGTGTATGGATATTTTTTTTTGTTTAGTTGGTTGGTTTTGTTTTTCACTTTTATTTATTTACTTTCTATTAGTTTAAAATCAGAGAAGGGTACAGTATTATACAGATTCTGTGTCCAGCAGCCTTTGCAGGAAGGTTGCTTCGGCATTGGGCATAAACCACACCACTGTTTCCACGGACCTGAGTTACTTTTCCCCAGGTCACTCTGGTTTTGTTTGGTTTGCCTCCAGGAGTCACTGTACTGTTTTTTGCCTTATACACATAAGTGCATCTCTTGTCTCAGTAGAACTCACATCTATTTAGGCATACATCCCAAGCATCCGTACCTTCAGTTTTAAGACGAGCCCTGTGTTCTCGTTGGCTCTGGAACCCTTGCCTATAGCCAGCAAAAGTAGCCTTACAGCACAGCCTTCCAGACATACTTGTCTTTCAGAAGTCCTGTTCCCAGCAGGCCTCCACAGGTGCTAAGATGGTGAAAAGATGTTTATGGGTGTTTTGTCTGCATGTGCATCACAGCATACCTAGTACCCTTGGAGGCCAGCCGAGCATGTCTGATCCCCTGGCGCTACAGTTACAGATGGTTGTGAGTCACTACCACATGGGTACCAGAAACTGAAATCCAGGTCCTCTAGAAGACCATCCAGTGCTCTTAATCCCTGCCACATTGCTCCTACTGCTCCACCAATACTCTTATTGACAGCTGGTAGGGCTTCTCACTTGGGGTTTTTGTGTAGATATGTGAAGGAAGATTAAAAAGCTACTTATGCACCAGAACCTGCCCAGTGATTATGTATCTGATTATGGTACTTCCTAACACTGGTTAATTGGCCTTTCATTTATGTGAGCACCTTAGTGGGGAAGACAGAAAATAATGTAAATTCTATCTGGTTCAGCTAACAGAACATTTGTGGAATGTCTTTTGTTTTCCAAAATGTGGATTTCAGAAGTTAATGTTATAGGGGCAAAACTATGGAGGTGACCCACCCCCGGAGAACTGTGTCACAATGTGGTGAGAAAATGGTGTAGTGGTGTGGGCCACAGACAGGCTTTCAAAATGGAGGCTCAAGTTCCCTGCCAGGAAGGAGGATGAGCTGTTTTCATTGCCAAGTTAAATTTGTACACAGTGAGAATGTGCTCAGAACCCTCACTGCGGCTGGTGCTTCGCTTTTTAAAGTGCTTCTTCCCATTTCCAGCATAAAAAGCTCAGCTCCGCAGTTGCCTTCGGAGGTGGGGAAGCCAGGCTGATGGCAGAGGAAGACGAAGAGGAACAGAGTTTCTTTTCAGCTCCCGGAACCTGCGTTGTTGATGTAGGAATAACAAATACACAGCTCATAATTACAGACTCCCAGAAAAAATGGATTCATTTGATAATGGATATACTTCAAAGGTACATCATTCTTCACTAGTTAAAAATGCAAGGAGATTTTACATGTAGCCCATTTAATACTAAAGAGTATACAGGTATACTTGTCATGCCATATTCTCAAGAATTGTGATTTGGGGTGCTAGGTAGTGGAGTATCTGCGTAATCCTATCTAGATATTTTCCACCTTTTGCTTCTTAAATAAAGTTTATAGAATTTGCTTCTTTTGGTTGTTTGTTTTGTTTTGTTTTGTTGAGACAGGGTCTCACTATATAGCTCTGGCTGTCCTGCAAGTCACAATGTAGATCAAGCTGGTCTGGATCTGCTTGCCTCTGCCTCATCTGAGTACTGGGATTAAAGGCAAGCACCACCACATCCAGTAGCTTCTTAAATTTAATGAACTAGTAGTTTCAATGCACAATATATTATAGCTGGGATTAAAACTCAAAAAAATAAAATATTTTCTAAAAGTGCGTAGAATTGAACAGTTTGCCCTTCATAACTACTTATGCTTATATATTTTATGTATATAATTATATTGTAATAATATTGTATATAATTAACATATGTATATATGTACATCCATATATATTTATATACGTGTGCGTGTGTATGTATACACATGCACAGGCGTGCTAGTCTGGGAAAATAGGGAAAATGTGAGCTGTTTTCGGACGGGGGGAGGTGTCTTGTTTTGGATTTGTTTATTTTTATTTTTTTACTTTTTGAGACAGAGCTGGTCTCAAACTTGCTGTATAACCAAGGATGACCTTTTTCTTCTGTTTATACCATAAAATTTTAGTATCTCTTTTAGAAGAAAAATAGATTTATGAAGTTTGATATTATATTACTGGAAGTTGTTAGTTTTAATATACTACTATATTTAAGCTATTTTATTTTCATAGGAATGGTCTCAGATCTATTCCTGAAGCAGAGATTGGATTGGCTGTTATTTTTATGACTACAGAGAATTACTGTAATCCACAGGGCCAGCCTTGTACAGGTAAATAAAACATTTTATTAAATCTTTATGAAATATATATATATATAAGCTTTACTGTTATATTTGCGAGGTGTGACCTTATTCACCTTCTTTTAAAACCCATCTATTGATACATCCATTATTCATTTACTCATTCGGTACATAGTTTCGCCATAATACTGGGTGCTGCTCTAGTTGCTGAAGGTTCATTAGTGAGTGGAGTGAGCAGGACCCCTGTTCTTTTGAACTCTCTGCTCTAAAGGTCAGGGTTTGGACAGTGAACAAGCAGAGCACACACCTCCGTTCAGAAGAGCTGAGTATGAAGAGGAAGCTGACAAGGCTTGTGACCCTAACTGGAAGTGTGCAGGCTCAGACTGAACTGAGGACAGGGCACTTGAGTCTCCTGAAACCTGAGCTGCTTAGGCAAGGCAGCTGCGTGGAGTCTGACATAGAATTCTAGGCAAAAGGACCACATGGCCCTGGTGTAGCAAACAGATCTTAGGGGTCCAGACACAGATGGCCACAAAGATTTCTCTGTTACATTTGGGTCTCTGTGTCTACAGTTTCCACCAAGTTACCAATCCAGTCAGGATTACTCAAAGAGACTTTGTTTGGAGGCAGGGAGATCATAAATCTAAGACAAGTTTAGGGTACATATGAATTCCAGGACACCCTAGACTATACAGCAAGTCCCCATTTTAAAAATATAAAAATAACGTTTATTTTTGGAAAAAGTTTTGCATCGATTTGTATCAACTTATTTTTTCTGACATTATTCTCCAACCAATAGGATAACAATTGACTTAGCATTTACAATATAAGTAATCAAGATCTGCTATACAGATACTGTGCCATTTTTAACAGAGGGGTCTTGAGAACCTTGTATTTTAATACCTGCTGGGAAGAACAGTGTCTTAGAATACGAACACCTGAGGATTACTATATATTCCTATTTGGGTTTTTTTTAAAAAAGTAAGTTGATTCATTCATAATTATTATTTTTAAAGAGTTTTTTCTTTTACTTTTGAGTCTATAATATAATTACATCATTCCCCCTTCTCTGTCTTCCCTTCAAACTCTCCCATAGACCCCTCCTTGTACTCTTTCAGATTCATGGCCTCCATTTTCATTTGTTGTTGTGCACTCTGTGTGTGTGTGTGTGTGTGTTCACACATGTATGTGTATTTCTAAATATTACCTGCTCAATCTAGTTTTACTTGTATGTTTTCAGGAATGACCATGTGGTACTGAATAACCAGTTAGTGTCCTTTTCTCTAGAAAAGACAGTCTCTCCCACTCTGAGCATTCCTCAGTTGCCTGTAGTTCTTTATATAGGGTTGGGGCCTCCTGACCACTCCAGCATTACTATTGTTGGTGACCTTATTTAGGTCATGTTGGTGAGACTATGGGTGTTTTTCTGACATTCCTAGGAAACACAATCTCTTAGCAAACTCCTGATCCTCTGGCCTTTGCTGTGGCTCTGCCTCCACTCCTACAGTGTTCCTTGAGACCTAGGTACGGGAACTGTTCTGTACCTCAGGACAGAGTACTTTAGAGAGTTGTATGTTTATTTCTCATGGTATCTTTTCTTTGCCTGCTTTCATTAGCAGGTGTTGGACTTCAGCTAATAGACAAGGTAGAGAACATGCTCTCCACATATAATTGGGGCTTCTGTAGTATAGTGAACAGTACCTGTGAAATTGGGTACTATAATTTAGTGTGTTCTGCAACCTTGGTTTAAATGGAAAGGGAATATTCGAAATTAGAGTTTGGAAGGAGTGAGCCACTAATGGCTTAGGAATCAGTTAGGTATACAAAGACTGTCAGTGGTACTGATTAGCAATGATCACTGCTGCCTTTGCATGTACAGAAGCTATCGGAAGAATTTTACGTGCATCATTACAACTTTGAAACACAAATCTTTTTAAAGATGTTTTATACATTGTATAGGCAAGGAAACTGTGTACAGAGAGGTTAGTACAGTAATCCGAATTTACAAACCAGGCCATCCATTCAGAGCAATTCTTACATCCCGGCTGTTGTGATGCTCTGCCGCATGCTTGCCGTCTGCTGTGCCAAGGGAAGCATATTTACTTCTCCTCCTGATGACCGAGTTCCACGGACGTATAGTGTGAAGTGCTTGGGACATTTTAAACATGTCACATAACTTCTTTTGCTGGAGTTGTGTTATGATTAATGTTTTCCTAAAGTTCATGAGTAAAATTCCCAGAGTTTATCCTTAGAGTAGAAGCTAAAGAAGAACGCTTCACCCTGTAACAAGAAAACTAACATAGCTGCCTACATATCACCACAGTCTTGGAGAGGCTATCCCTTCCAGTCTGTTACAAATCTGTCCAACTTTTTAAAAATAGCATTTGCCTTTTGTTTTGTGGTTATTATTGGGGTGGGGGACAAATATATCAATGATTTGAGGCATAAACAATAAACATGAAAATAGCCACTGGTCCTGTGACAGTAGCTTCTTCTGACCTAGCCCCGTTTGTGGCACCTACCTTCTCTTTCTGTTTAATTCTTAACTATAGGTACACACGACAAAAACAGTTTTTACTTTAAGTTGGAATCCTTTAGTTCAGAATATCCTGGGAAGTGGCCCTGGCAGCTGGGTGCTCCATTTGGTTGTAAGTGTGTTTTGCACAGCCCTCAAGAGCCACTGGCTTTGGTGTTCAGAGTGACAGCTAACAGTGACAGAGTCCCGCTGGCTTCTCAGTGCTGCCCTATTGCGGTCCATATATCTGTTTATGTTGCCCCCAGAACAGCTTGAGGTTTTTATAATTGTTTACATCTTATGCGTAATAGTTGTGATTTTTTTTTTTATCTTGCATGATGTACAGAATTAAAGACAACGACTCCAGGACCAAGCCTTTCCCAAGGCCTGTCAGCCAATGGAAAAATAATCCCAAGTGCTCCAATGAATATGACCACATACGTAGCTGACACAGAATCAGAGCCAGCAGATACATGGTAAAGCATCTCTTAGCATGCTGTTGTAATTATTTTATCAATAAGAGCATATTCAAGAAAAAGTTGCAGTCTCTATCAAGACAAAGCATGGGAGAAGGGGATGCCAGGGAAAAATGATACCTCATAGGGATCAGCAAATTTTTTCCTTTTCTTTTTCTGTTCTTTTTTTTTTTTTTTTTGAGATAATTACATGATTTCCTTCTTCCCCTTTCTTCCTCCAAATATTCCCTATACTGCTCCCCTAAATTCATAGATTCTGTTTTTATTTTGTTATGTGTGTATGCACGAAAGCAGTCACATGCACACAGTCATGCACCTATGTGTAATCCTAAGTGAATACCTACAACCCACTCAGTCTGTATAATATCACTTGCATGTATGTTTTCAGGGCTGACCATTTGATATTGGATAACCAATTGGTGCGCTCTTTGTTTCCTGGGGAAGACTGTCTCCCACTGTCAGTGTTCCTTTGTTGGATGTAGTTCTTTCAGCAAGAAAATGTTACAGACCTGCACAGTCTTGATCTTCGTTATAGATACTTAACTCTGCCGTTGTAGATTCGGAGTAGCCATGGACAGCACATGGCTGAGTCAGGAGGGTAGTGTGGCACAGCCAGTTAGTCTACAAGCTGGTCTTTTACTGCCCTAGGCTAATTTTTATTAGTCCTTCAAATTTGCTTTAAAGTGAAAAAGTATTTGTGACTAATGAAATAAATTTGAAATATAGTAGCCCTTACATATCTGTATTTTGAATTACCCATAGTATATCATTGTCTAAAAGTATTGAATGGAAAATTGCTGAAACTAGAAATTTCTAAGTTTTTTTTTTTTTTGAAATTTCTAAGTTTTAACTTACACTTCTGAATAGCATGATGAAATATCTTAGCACAGCAGTTCTTGTGGCTACCCCCAAACATAAAATTATTTTTGTTACCACTTCATAACTGTAACTTTGCTACAGTTATAAATCATAATGTAAACATCTGTATTCTCTGATAATCTTAAGTCACACCAGTAAAGGGGTCATTCAACCCCCAAAAGGGTCAAGACCCATAGATTGAGAACCCTTGTCATGTTATCTTACCTATATGTATTTCTTTGTTCAGCGAGTCCATACTGTATATGCTACCCACCTGTTGGTCACTACTAGCTGTTGTGGTTTGGAGTGACTGGCTTAGTGTTTCAGTGCTTACATTCATGTAATTTTTACATAGTGGCCTGATACTAACTCACAGTGCCTAAACCATTCATCTCTTTAATCACGTAGTGATTATTTTATGTCTTATCATAAGAAGGGTAGGTACAGTACAATAATATAGTTTGGGAGACACCACATTCATGTAACTTTTATTATAGCACATGGTAATTACTAATGTTTTCTTAGTTTCTACTGTTAACCTCTAATTTAAGCCTACTTTATAAATTAATGGTATGTATACATAAAAATATGTATTTATATAATTTGGCACTATTATTGCCTTTAGGCCTCAGGTGTCTTAGAATGTATTCCTCATGAATTTGGATATATTATTATAAATATTTTAGTTTGTATGATTATTACGGATATCCCTCCAGAGATGACCACACAGACACAGCTTTATAGCCAATTAAAAGGTTTTTTCCCAGGCCCCTGTGCTACATTTAAGTATTTGAACCTAAGTGTAGCCCTAAGCATTTGGACCAGGAGGCTTTTAAAGGCAAAAACCATATCCTGTTATCTTGCTCAGCAGCTATGGGGGAGGGAATTTAGCAGAAGCTAAAATAAATTAGCTGGGGCATTGGCCGTGGTCCTAGAGTAGAGCTGGGTAACTTACCATGTGATGCTCCATCAAGGAAATCCAATTCTAGTTAAACCTGAAATGGCTTCAGTAAGAAGACAGGATAAAGGAACTTCGGCACTGGTTTTCCCTGTTACAGAATACCTACAATTAAATATTGCTTATAATTTGGGAGATAAAGTATTAGGTCAGCTTGGATATCCAAATAGTTCATATTCATCCATACATGTCATTTTTTCAGTGGTTTTTCTTATTTGAAAAATTCTAAGCTGGGCAGTGGTGGCGCACGCCTTCAATTCAAGCACTTGGGAGGCAGAGGCAGGCGGATTTCTGAGTTCGAGGCCAGCCTGGTCTACAGAGTTAGTTCCAGGGCAGCCAGGGCTATACAGAGAAACCCTGTCTCGAAAAACCAAAAAAAAAAAAAGTTATATGGGCTGGAGATATGGCTCAGTGGTTAAGAGCACTGATTGCACTTCCAGAGGCTCTGAGTTCAAATCCCAGCAACCACATGGTGGCTCACAACCATCTGTAATGAGATCTGATGCCCTCTTTTGGTGTGTCTGAAGACAGCTACAGTGTACTCATATATAATAAATAAATAAATCTTTAAAAAAAAATTCTGTTTCTTTTTTGTTTTTGTTGTTTAACAGAAAGGGTTACTATTTTTGTATTCTGTGATAGTTTTTATTTATGTCTTATTTTTAATATTATACAAAACCATGTTCTTATTAAGATATTTAATAATCTATGTTAGATTGTGTATAAATTTTTACTATTATATTGTGGGCAGAACTTGTAAAAGAAACAGTTAGTTTTTAGTAGTTGCTTGAAAGAGCTTTGTTTTTATTTGTTTTTTGGTCCATTCAATCATATTGCACAAAACAATGTCTGTCTTTAAGATATTTTTCTAGTCGGTCCATTCAATCATATTGCACAAAACAATGTCTGTCTTTAAGATATTTTTCTAGTCGTGTAGAGTTCTATAGTAGAGACTACCATCTGGTTAGATAGTCAGAAGTCAGTCTGTCCAGGGTGATTTAAATACACACATAGCAATCTATATGTGATGCTGGAATAATATAATTTTCTCAGTTTCCTATATTTTGTTGTAATACTTGCTTTCATGAAGATATTAAGAATGTTTAAATAAAAATTACACAGGCCTACCACCTAGTTAGTTTAGTATACAGTAGGATGCTAGTTTAGGGTCCACCTAGTTTAGTATACAGTAGGATGCTAGGTTAGGGTCGTGAGTGTATCTGGCAGTGTTTCTAGGAGAGTGCCTGAAGGTGTGTGCTGTGGGGAGCCTGCTGGACTGTGCCAAGAGACAGCCAGGGTGCTACTATCTTGGAATGAGAAGATATGTTAGCTAAATTATTTTCTACTATTCTGAAGTTGTATTTATTCAGAACATTTATAGACCTTTGTTTGTAAATACACGTTGTACTAATTGTTTGCCTCTCTGTCCTTCCGCTGTAGTATGTCTTTGAGTGAAAGACCAAAAGAAGAAAAGATCCCTGGACTGGAAAAAAACTCTAGGAAGCTTTCACAAGAAGCATGGAATATAAAGGAGGCCCCTAAACCAAGCTCCAAAGCTAATAGTGTAGCATCAAATACTCTGGTTAGGGGAAAGACCCCGAGCTATCAGCTTTCTCCAATGAAATTTCCTGCTGCAAATAAAAATAAAGATTGGACTTCTCAGCAGCAGCAGAACTCCATCAAAAACTACTTCCAGCCATACACCAGAAAAAGGTGTGTTGTCAATAACTCCTCTATTGTGTCTCTGAACACATGGTCGTCAGGTACATAGATAATTGTAGAGCAGTATTTTCTTCAACCTGTTCTGTTGAAAAAGAAACAGAATGTATCTATAGAAAGTATGTATTTATGTTTTTAGAAATTATTCTCCCTCTCCCTCTCTCTGTCTCTTTCTTGTCTCTGTCTCTGTGTGTGTGCCTGTGTCTGCCCATACTCGTGCATGCTCACGTGTGTGTATATGTGTGTGTGTGTGTGTGTATGTGCTCATGTGTGATAGAACATTTTTGGAGGTCAGAAGCTAACCTATAGGTGTCAGTTCTCTCATTTCATCATGTGGGTCCTTGGATCCACTGCAAATTGTCAGTGTCTTAGTAAAATTTTCTATCACTTCGATGAAACACCATGACCAAAAAAGCAAGTTGGGGAGGAAAGGGTTTGTTTGACTTACATTTCCAGATAATAATCCATCATTGGAAGAAGTCAGAACAGTAACTCAAGCAGGGCTGGGACCTGAGGCAGGAGCTGATGCAGAGGCCATGGAGGGGTGCTGCTTACTGGCTTGCTTCCCATGGCTTGCTCAGTCTGCTGTCTAATAGAACCCAGGACCACCAGCCCAGGGTGCCACCACCCAAAATGGGCTGGACCTTCCCTTTAGCCCATTATTAATTGAGAAAATGCCCTACAGCTGGATCTCATGGAGGCACTTCCTCAGCGGAGGCTCCTTTCTCTGTGATAACCTAGCTTGTGTAAAGTTGACACACAAACCCATCCAGTGCAGTCAGGATTAGCGGCCCTCATCAGCTGAGCCATCTTGCTGGCCTAGTGGTTTTATTTCTGAGCTTATTCCATTTCCGTTTTGTCCTAAGCACCCACTTCTCCTTCACTAGGCCCGTTATACAGACTGCACTTCATGTTTCATCATCTTCCTCCTGCTTTAGCTTTTGGGTTTGTGTGCTGCCCATCTTTAAGAAAGATTAATCAAACCAAAGTTCCAGAAACTTTCTCTTATTTTTCCATAATAACCTATCTCAGAAGGTCATCCTTAATTATTTCCTCTCTGCCTCCCTGGAATCTTATCTCTCCTTTACTGGACATTTGCAGCCAGCTCTGTACTTAGATCTTTAACAACCTAGAAAGCAGAGAACCAAGTGTTATTCCTCTGGACTGTTGTAAAATTTGTGTTAACAAAAATGTTTAGTACTTCTTGAGTGAATGTATACTTCTTGAATGAGTGTGGAAAGAGGACTGTTAGACACATGGTCACATAGTATTTTCAGTATTCAGTTGTGTGTTCTAAATTTAGCCTGTTTGGCTTGACTTCTTGACTCCAGCTCTCTTTAGCACATCCGGTTATAGTCCCAGGTATAAAGATTTGAATTGCCCATGAATTCGCTGTTCCACTGGATAAGGTGCTGCCTTCTGCCAGTGGGCCCTGTGTATTTTTATATATTTCTCTTTTCCCTCACATGCGTTTATTGAATGATTCTACATTAGCAGAGAGGACAGGGGTCTTCAAATGCTTTAAACACAGGCTCTGTCAGTTCTGTCAAGGCTGATTTTCAGTATATTGTTAATAATGTCAGGAGAAGGTTATGAGTTGCATGGACTGAGTACTAAATCATGACAGATTAAACAAAATTACTCATTTCAACTTTGTTTTCCTTTTTAAACCTAAGGGAAAGGGATGAAGAAAATTCAGAACTGTCCTCATGCAAATCGTCAAGAATGGAACTGTCCTGTTCTCTTTTAGAACAAACACAACCTGCTGGACCCTCACTGTGGAAAAACAAGGAACATCAGTCTCAGAATGAGACTCTGGACAGGGAAGCCGATGCCTCATTTGTGAGTGGAATAGACATAAAACCCAATGAGAAGAGTACTGACAGTAAATCATTTTCCATAGAAAATCTTAGACCAAAAAAAAGAAAAGAAATTGATTTGGCTATAGAAGAGGAAGTATTGGAAGAGTTACTCAAGAGTACAAAGCCAGAGCTGGCAGTTCAAGTGAAAGTTGAGAAGCAGGAGTCTGATGTCACCGTCAGAAAAAAGCCAAGGACAGATGCAGAGAGGAATCGGCCCCCGAGTGCTGGATCAATGCCGGAAAGCAACAGTGTACTTGTAAGTAACAGTTTACTTTATTATGAGACAAGATCTCATGTACCCAAGGCTGGTCTCAAATGAGATGCATAGGATGGATGATCTTAAACCTCTGGTCCCTCTGCCTTCGTGTCCTGAGTGCTGCAATTGCACTTGAAATCTTTACATGGCCTTGGCTTCTTTTTCCTAAACTGTGTCCCAGGTGACCCACCACACACAGTGAGCACAGACCTGCAGAAGAGTGGTTTGAATCACAGAAGCCCTTGCTCTGGCTTTGCCTCACAGTTAGTATTCAGATAGGAAGAGATTAAAATTTGAGTACCGTGTACCCTGAACACCACTAACATAGTATTCTGTGAAACAGCAAAAGGCTTTCATTTACTATTTAAGGATTCATGATAATGTGATCAGATAATAAAATTATGTTCCTGTGTGTCTTAGTTAGGGTTTTACCACTGTGAACAGGCATCATGACCAAGGCAACTCTTAAAAAGTCAACATTTAATTGAGTTCATAGGCTCAGTCCATTATCATCAAGGCGAGAGCATGACAGTGTCTGTGCAGGCATGATGCAGGCAGAGCTGAAGGCTGCTAGCAGAATATTGCTTCTAGGCAGCTAGGATGAAGATCTTAAAACCCATTCCCACAGTGACACACGTACTCCAACAAGCCCACACCTCTAAATCCTGCCACTCTCTGGGCCAAGCATATCCAAACTATGATACTGTGGTATTTGGTCTTGTTGTATAGTTCTTTTATTCATATTTTACTATTTTGAAACTTAAGGCAAACTGATGTAAGCAAGGGTGTAGTGAACCACTGGTCTGAGCACTCCGTATGTCAGGAAAGGGTCTTATTGTAGATATGATAGAGAGAATAATCACAGGCATATGGGGAATTCCAAAGTAGCATGGCTAACTCTCTGGAGCAGAGAGGATCCTAGCAGACAGAGATATCTCTCTGGTGCACAGAGAAATTGGGGAGAGGAGCTCGCCCATTATAAAGAACAGGTAGCTGTAGGGTCAGGGGAGAGAAGCCTGTAAACTGGAGCATCATGGGACTTTAGGGGGCTTTGGTACACATAATAGATATAAATTAGTAGGGACCAGAGGAGCCTGAAGGTTACCATGGCGCCTTGTTGTATAACTAGATGCCCCATTTGCCCGTCTCTAGTAGGAACAGATAAGTAAGTAACTTTTTTTGGCAGACAGAAATCCATTTCGTAAGCTCCTGAGGAACGCTGCCTTTGAGCATTATCTGTCCACCAGTAAGACTATAGTCCAGCCTGAGCTGTGCCCAGATTCTTATCTTGAGACATCACACTTTGTTTGGGGAGGGGCTGGTATTGAGGGTTCCCTTTGGATCTAACAATGACATTATAAATGAAAAATACAATGTAGGCATTAAGAGAATAAACAAGTTAGGATCTATTTAAAAAAATAGATCACTAAATTCTAGCACTAACGTTTTTAGGGAGAATCTTTTCAAAAAGATTTCAAAAAATATTAAGGACATTTTATTTTTCTGGCTCACAGGAGGCAGAGGCAGGCATATCTTTTGAGTCTGAGATCAGCCTGGTGTCCTTAGTAGTTCCCAGCCAGCCAGGCTTGCACAGTAAGACCCTGTATCCAAAAACAAAGCAAAAACCTCACCTTATAGTTTTAAGGTAATTGCTGATTCTCTTATATATGAAAGAAATGGTATAGAGAGGATCTTTGAGCCCTTCAGTCGGTTTTCCTAGTCACTTGGCCAGCATGATGCACTATAGCATCGCATACAGATAGGAATGGTAGAGTTAACCAGTGTTACTCAGTATAAGATTCTTCTTCATTTGATTCTCCTAAACCATTTTGAGGATTTATCTTTGTAAATGCTTATAAAAGAAGGTTGATCAGCAGCTTATTGATATTCTACCATCCCTGCCAGATATAGCATCTTCTTTATAATTTTATTTTACAATATAGATTAACTGTTAATGTAATTTTCTGACTGTGATTTTTTTTAACTTTATGTTGTGTTTACATTTTGTTGGATATAATTTACTTTTATTTCCAGGGTCACAGCATGATTTTTTTTTTGAGGTTTTTAAAGAGATTATTTACAACTTCTATGAACATTGTTTTTTATTTTTTAGCAAGAAGATAAGACAGAAAAAAAGGATGAGCTTCAGACAGAATCATGGTCAACAAAACATGAAATAGCTGTAAGGAAATTCTTATTTTATTTTTACTCACATTTGACTTAAAATAATTATCATCATATACATTTCTGAAAGTTTACATTTTCTTTTTATAATTCTGGTCCATTTAAGGGTTTGCCGGTTCTGGAAATAGATTATGCTATAGCCATGAGACATTAAAGAGTATAGAGAATCTTAGGCTTAACCCCTTTCTATGTACTGCATGGATACAGTCTTGAAAAAATGGTTTTCTTAAGGAAAGTTGTTTATCAAATGACTGAAGCTTTTCCAGCAGGGTTGTTGTTTATATCAGGTACAGTAATGAATATGTGATACCTATAAGTTCCAAAAGGATTAGGCCAGTTTTACTTAAGTAAGGTTCTGATTACATTCATTATCATAAGATGAGCCTCTATAGGGGCTTTTCTTTTTTGTTCTTTCTATCAGCACCTGTCTTACATATAAATTATATAGTTCATCAATTAAAAGAATTAGTAGCTGGGTGTGGCCTATGCCTTTAGTCCTAGTAAGGCAGAAGTGGTGATTCTCTATGAGTTCTAAGCAAGCCTGATCTACATAGCAAATTTCGGGTTAGCTACAATTACATAGTGAGACCCTCGCCAGAAAAGACAAAAAGAATTAGGATGGACAATCTTGATGTGTAAGTATTAGAATGAATTAGATTAGATAAGGATTAGATTAGAAGTAAAAAGAATTGCAGATCCAGGCTGTGAATTTTAAGTCATTATAGTCGTAACTAAGCTCATACACATCCCTGTTAATCAGAATAGGAACTGTTATAATCAATACATTTTTGGCAATGAGAAGTGAGTTTTTTCCTGTAGCATAAAAACCCAGATTCAAGGAACTCTTGGAAAGCATTATCTGCTTATGGTAGTGTTTCTCTGTGAAAGGTGGATGGGGAAGACTTCCCAGCCAGATTCGTTTCAACTTTGGAAGTGTTGATTGTGTGGTGTGCAGTTAGATGTTGTCATGGAAAATTGAGACCTTTCTGTCAATCAGTGCTAGCTGTAACCATTGTAGCTTTGGGCACGTCTCATCGGATTGTTGTGCGTGCTTTTCTTAGGCAGGGGTTTTACTAGGAATTGAGTGAAAAGCTGTACAGGGTCAGGCCAGCAGCGTCCAGCCAGTGACATGGTTTTGGGGTGCAAGTTTAGCTTTGGTGAACGCTCTGCTCTGGAGCTTTTCAGTCCATCCAGTGAAATAATCATCACTGATTGTCATGCACATTACACTTTGTGTTGCATATCACAGTCTGATTGAGAAATGCCTTGTTGTATAGATAAGAGATGATAGATATTCAAGTTAATGTATTATTTCATCATCATCATCACTGCTCAGCTCACAAGGCATCCCTTTTCACCTCAGGAGCTCTACAGTTCTGATAACATCTATAGCATGTCCACCTAGAACATGCTGAGCAATAGTTGAATGGTCCACACGGTCCCCACTCAGTAACTTTTCTTGTAGTCGTAAGATCTTCTTCTAACAACTGCTAACTTCTTGGCCACGCTTTTTGATGGCTGCCACCACACGCCTGGTTTTCAAAGCTCCTGCCTCTTTTGCCAGACCCCTTAAGCAATCACTGCATTACATGTTCACATATTCCTGGGTCAAGTGCTTTGCATGTAGTCCCTGCTGCCTTACGAGTCATCTTGAACTCAACAATTCACTCAGATTTATTTGCTTTTTGTCTGTTATCATTTTTTATAATATATAGTGAATGTAAAATAAGCAGAAAATAAATAGTCTTTATAAAAATATAAAGCAGGAAATATGCATTGCAATTCTATATTCTGTAATCACATTTGTTAAGAATGTGTTTCAGTATCCTAGAGCAGATTTTAACAGTGTAAAACTGCACTTACTACCAATGCAATGGCATTAAATTACATAAGCAAAGAATCTCACTGAACAGATTATCAGTTAATGACCAAATGTGATCAGAATTGGTCTCTAGATGTATTAAATATATAAATATAGTGGGTGGGGTCTATAAAATGGAATATTTAATTTAATAGTCATGGCACACAGTATTAATGGGAAAGAAGCAGACTGTGATGACATATGTCAGGAGAATATCTATAGGAAGGAAGCTTGCTGAGGTACTACCCAAGCCTTTAGGTGAAAAATACTGCACAAATTATAGTCTTCTGGGTGGACATACTGTAGATATTTTCAGAACGATAGAGCTCCTGAGTCATTTTCTGATTTTGAAATAGATATGATTGATCCCAAATACAAAGTTCAAGTGCCAGAAACAACTCTGTTTTCCCTTGGGTATTTGGACTTTTTTTCTGTAGATCTCTAAATGATAAGCAGATTTTCCTTCCCTTCTGATCTTATCTACCTATTTAATCTCCACTTAAGATTAGTGATGAACTTCCAAACAGCGGTGAGGAGCTTCCAAGAAAACTGCTGCTGACTGAGTTTAGGTCATTAGTCGTCAGTAACCACACTTCCAGAAATCTGTGTGTAAATGATTTTGGTCCACTGAAGAATTTCAAGAAATTCAAGAAGGTAAGTGTCTTTATTAACTCCGTCTCCAGAGGACAGTGTTTGGATTGTTGTTAGAAATAACACTGGCACTAAATACAATTAAAAGGAGTAGTTAATGGGAATTTTTTTTTGTTTTTTTGTTTTGCCTTTTAAGTTAATTTGTTTTTGTTGTTGTTGTTGTGTTATGTGGAGGTTAGAAGACAGCTTGCAAGAGTCAGTTCTTTTCTTCCACAGTGTAGAGTCTGGTGTATGAAGTATTGATTGTCAGGATTGACAGCAAGTGCCTTTATCTAATGAGCCACCTGGCCAGCCTCTGTCACTGTCAGACCTGATGTGTGTGCACTGCATTACATCACTTCCCTCTGTCACTGTCAAACCTGATGTGTGTGCACTGCATTACATCACTTCCCTCTGTCACTGTCAGACCTGATGTGTGTGCACT